CACAAATTGTAGCAAGTAAGCCCTTGCGCGGTGCCTCCTCCCACGCTAGAAGAACGCCCACATGAGCGCAATTACTGCAGGATATTAAGCTGAACTTCCGCGCCCTGGCAGTCACTGCACGCCGTGACGTTGGAGAAAAGTTTTCTCAATACACCCCCCCCCATCTCCGCCAAAATTTCTTGCTTCAGTATAAGCCCTTCCTTCAACTGATCACCTTCCTAAATTTTCCCTATTTGTCCTACTTTTTCCTCGAAAACTCGATTCCCTCTCCACCCCCCCCACCCCAAAAAAAAATGGTTCCGAGCGAGGGAGAGGTCATACAGCGCACATGAAGCAGGAAAAATCGAGGGAAGTCCACTAAGGAAAATATTTCCCTAGAAGGGAAATAAGACCTCCTCCCCACCCCACCCCTCCTCCCTCCAACGCTCTACGTCTCGGCACTTCAGTTCTTCCTGAGCTCGCCAGTGCTAAAAATCCACTATAAAAAGACAGACTTTTTGGCGTTTTAGACGGATTCTCCTACTTTTTCCTCTATGGTAAGTCAAAGAGTTCTTACAAATCCATAGTTGAACCCCACTGCCCGCGATATGGAATTGCGGAATGTGTCTTTAGGTCAAGTAAAGGGGCGGGCACTCTATAGTCGGCAGTTAGTTGGAGTTCTTACTATTTGTGAAGATAAACTCGTATCGAGAAACGATTAAAAAATGGAAGAAAAAAATAATGATTCATCATAATTCACCATTTAGCACAACGAATGACAAGCAATGTACAAGAGATTAACACATAAGCCGAAAGAAACCCTACCAAAAGCTTCAGCACATGAAAGTTATCTATACAAGAAAAAAATCGACGAGATTAATAACGTGGAAAATATATGCATGTGCACAACCCGGAGCCAGTCAAGAACTTATTACAAATCAATATGCATATTTTAGATGTGCACCGTTGAAATTTGACAGCCAAAAGTCGAGATCACCGAAAATCAATTATAACCGACAAATATCATTGCATGAAGCTCACAAATCAATAGCAATCTATGACGAATGTATAAAAGCGGATCAATAATCCGTATATGTACACAGGAAGAGGACTGAAATCCATTTCAGTTAGCCCTTTAGCCGAGTCGAACCCTGACCAAGTCCTCATTGAGATACAACGATAAGGATTTCGAACTGAAATACGGTAAAGCTTTCCTGAAAAGGAATCGATTACCATGCCCCCTTAGTCGCCGGAATCGCGCCACGTCAATTCGTGACACGATCATGAGTATGACCGAGAGCTTGGGTCCGAGTTCGAGCGAACTATAAACGCTTACAGAACGAAAACTAGTTGGATTCTAAGACGATGGAAAAAATGAAAGGG